AGAAAGCCCACTGTCTTTCTGGATGAAGAATCAGGAGAAGAATCCTGGCCAAATATGGCCAGATGCTGAAGAATGAGGGAAAAATCTAGAAGAGGGAAGGAGATTCTCTAATTCTGTGTATGAAACTTGCACAAGAGTCAGCCTGACACCTGAATCATGCACTCACAGGGCACATTCAAAGTAGTGCAGCAAAAGCTTAAATAATTGACCTGAGCTATGACCCATTAACCACAGAAGGCAAGGAAATACTTACAAATTGAATCTAACCATGTTAACTGCCAGCTAAAACAAAAACATCAACATTTGTAAGAGGAATATGACAGAACTCAGTAAATGAAAAAAACACACCACAATTCCTTTTGCAACTGCAGCCAAAAGAATAAAATACCTCAGAATAAACTTAACAAAGGATGTGAAGGACCTATATACTGAAAAGTACAAAGCATTATTAAAAGAGATTGAAAAAGATACAATGAAATGGAAAGGTATTCTATGTTCACGGATTGTAAGAATCAACATAGTTAAAATGGCTATATTACCCAAAGCAATATACAGATTTAATGCAATCTCCATCAAAATCACAATGCCATTTTTTAAAGAAATAGAAGAAAAATCATGATTTGTATGGAACCACAAGACCCCAAATAGCCAAGCAATCTTGAGAAAAAAAGAATGAAGCTGGAAGTATCACACTACCTGACTTCAAATTATACTACAGAGCTGTGATAATAAAAACTGCATGGTATTGGTAGAAAAACAGACAAAGACCAATGGAACAGAATTGAGAGCCTAGAAAGAAAACCACATGTAAATGGGAAAATAATTTTTGACAAAGGAGTGAAAAACACACAATGGAGAAAAGAAAGCCTCTTCAATAAATGGTGCTGGGAAAATTGGAAAGCCACATGCAAATGAATGAAACTAGATTGTAGTTTGTTCTCTTGTACAAAAATGAATTTAAAATGGGTCAAATAACTAAATATAAGATCTGAAACAATAAAGTATATAGAAGAAAACATACATACTAAACTTATGGACCTTGGTCTTAGAGAAGATTTTATGAATTCTACCCCAAAGGCAAGGGAAGTAAAAGAAAAAATAAATGAATGGGACTATATCAATCTAAAAAGCTTCTGCACAGCAAAAGGAACCAACAATAAAACAAAAAAGGCAATCAACTGAATGGGAGATGATATTTGTAAACAACAGCTCCTACTAGGGGTTAATATCCAAAATATATAAGGAACTCATACAACTCAACACCAAACAAACAATCCAGTTAAAAAATGGGCAGAGGACCTGAACAGACACCTCTCCCAAGAAGACATAAATGTCCAACATATATGTGAAAAGATGTTCAATTTCACTGGCTGTTAGGGAAATGCAAATCAAACTACAATGAGATACCACCTCATACCTGTTAGAATGGCTGTTATCAACAAGACAGGTAATAACAAGTGTTAGGTGTGGAGAAAAAGGAACCCTCATTCATTGCTTGGTGGGAATGTAAACTGGTACAGCCACTATGGAAAACAGTATGGTATTTCCTCAAAAAAATTAAAAATAGCGTTACCATATGACCTAACAATCTCTCTTCTGGGTATCTACCCAAAAAACTCAAAAATATTTATTCACAAAGATATACTCACCCTTACGTCCTTTGCAGCATTATTCATGGAGGCTAAGACATGGAGGCAACAAAGCATTCTTCAACAGAGCATTAGATAAAGAAGATGTGGTACATGTATGCTATGGAATACTACTCGGTCATAAGAAAAGACCAAATACTGCCATCTGTGACAACGTGGATAGATCTTGAGGATACAATGCTAAGTGAAATAAGTCAGTCAGAGAAAGCTAAGAACCATGTGATTTCACTCATATGTGGGATATAAAACTATAGCTGCTAGACACAGACAATTACCAGAGGGAAGGGAGTGGGGGTAGTAAAGGGTGCCAAATATATGGTAAAGAAAGATGATTTGACTTTGAGTGGTGGGCACACAGTGCAGTATACAGATCATGTATCCTAGAAATGTACACTTGAAACTTATATGACCTTATTAACCAATGTCACCCCAACAAATGTGATAAAAATAATTATATACTTTTGTTGGATTATCCCTTTATTATTATATAATGCCCTTCTTTGTCTGTTACAACCTTTGTCTTAAAGTCTATTTTGTCTGATATAAGTTCTGCTACCCCAACTTTTTTTTGGTTCTTATTTGCATAAAATATCTTTTTCCATCCCTTTACTTTCAGTCTGTGTGTGTCTTTTGATCTGAAGTGGATTCTCTTCTGGGCAGCATATTTCTGGGTCTTATTTATTATCCATTCACCCACCCTATATTTTACTGGAGCATTCAGTCCATTTACATTTAATGTAATTATTAATAGGTATGTAGTTATTGCCATTGTATTCATTGTTTCCTGTTTTTGTGGTTTTTCTCGGGTATTTTCTTATTCTCCTGCTCTCTTGTTTGTTGATGACTTTCTATAGTGTTATGCTTGGATTTTTTTCTCTTTATCTCTTGTATATCTTGTATAGATATTTTTGTTTGTAGTTACCATGTGCTTTTCATTTATACCAAGCTATGTTTAAATTGATGGTTGCTTAAGTTTGAACACACTCTAAAATCACTACATTTTTTTACTCATCCCCCCCAATGTTTATTTTTTTGTCATTTTTATCTGTTTTGTGTGTATATTTGTGTACCCCCTAATTTATTCTTGTATTTACACATGATCTTCCTATTTTTGTCTTTTAACCTTTGCACAAGCTTTAAAATTGTTTGATCCACTGTTATTACTGTTTGCCTTTGTCAATGAGAATTTTTTCTTTCCTATATATTCTTATTTTTATTTTTGATATTTTCTTTCTACTTAATGTTAAAGGAATCCCTTTAACATTCTTATAAAGCTGATTTAATGGTGATGAATTTTTAATAGTTCTTGCTTGTCTGGCAAACTCTCTCTCCTTAGATACTAAATGATAACCTTGGTGGGTAATCTTGGTTGTAGGTTTTTGCCTTTCTTTTTTAAAACCTCAAGCATTTCTTTATTTTGATGATATATTTTTATAAGAAAAATAAATAATCAGGTGATGAGGAATATATGTAACTAAGTGAAATCAAGAAAAAGAAATAACAGTATGCATTTAAACAGAATTATGGAACTAAATATAAAAATGCATCAAATGTAAGGGCTTTGGGTCTACTGTCTAATTAACTAGGATTGTCATATTTCTTTCCATATACACAATGGAAAGCCTGGAAGTCAGGGCTTTGATGTTTATATAGATCACCTGTAATAATCCTGCTTATTTAAAAAGCATTCATTTGCAAACATTTACAGTGGGTGACAGTCTACATTATCTCCTATCTTTTGCTACATTTCAGCACTTCCCTTAGCCCCATTTTAGTTTTTTTCCTTTCACCACTGAATATTTCTTGCCAATCCCTTCTGGTCCCCAAAGTTTCTGTTGGAAGGTCTTCTGATAGTCTTATGGGAACGTCCTCATACATAACTAATTGCCTTTTCAATGGCTACTTTTAAGAATCTCTTGTTGACTTTAGCTTTTGACATTTAATTATGATGTATGTTGGTGTGGGTGTCTTTGGGTTCATCTTGTTTGGGACTGTCTGTGCATCCTGGACTTGTATATCTATTTCCTTTGCCAAGTTAGGGAAGTTTTTGGTCATTATTTCTTCAAATAGGTTTTCAATCCCCTTTTCTCTCTCTTCTCCTCTGGAACCCCTAATGTAAAAGGCAACAAACAAACAAAATTTAATACCTCCCCAATTAAGCCCCACAAACAAGCTTCTACAAGATAATATAGGGGACTAAGGTTAGAACCTTTGGCAAAGGTTCTAAAACAGGATACCAGAAGTACTAATCATGAATAAAAAGATTGTTAAATTTGACTACATCAAAATTAATAATTTCTGTTTATCAAAAATACCTATAAGAGATAAAAAGGGAAGGCAGAGAGTGGAATAATACCTGTCACAAACACAGTCAACAAAGAGCTCACAACCAGAATATATAGAAACTGTTACAAATGAGTTTTTTTTTTTTTTAAAGACTAACAATATAATAGAAAAATAAGTACTTCCAACTGGCTAAAAAACAAATGAAAAGATATGAAACTACTTTAGTAATCAGGAAAAAACAAATTGAAACTGCAATGATTTATTAACCACCCATCAAAACGGCTAATGCTAAGAAGACGGATAATATTACATAATGGATATAGTCTAGGTAAGGATGTAAAACAACTGGAACCCTAAAATACACTTCTGTTGGGAATATAAATAGTACAAATACTTTGGAAAATTGTTTGAAATAATATACTAGAGCTGAGCAAACACATATCTTATGATCCAGCAATCACTCTCAGGGTATGTACTCAAGAGAAATGTTTGTATATGTGCACTAAGGGACATGTACACAAAGGTTTATAGGAAAATTTTTTTTCAATAGTTTTAAGCTGGAAACAACCTGGATGTTAACATTCATCATAGAATGGATAAGTTGTGGCATTTCATACAATGAATACTATACAGGAATGAAAAGGAACTACAGCTACACACAACAGTATGTATTAATTTCACAGACATAATTTTGAGCAAAAGAAACTAGATACAAATGAATACCTACTATATGGTTCCCATTATATAAAGTTGAAAAAGATGAGAAATCTAAAGAAAAGCTATTCATGATTCATGTTTAGCAGTAAAATTATAAAAAGAAGTGAGGAAGTCAACGTCAAAGGATTCAGAATAATAGTCCCTTGTGAGGAGTAATAATTGAGGGAAAGAAAGGGAGCTTCTGGGATGCTGGCAATGTTTTAATTTTTAAATTTAAATGGTAGTTATAAGTTTGCTAATTTCATGATAACTCACTGAGTTGTACATGTTTTGTTTTATACACTTGTATGTGTGCTATATTTATAATAAAAGTAATTAAAAGATCATTCTTTTTCTCCAATTCCATACCTGGCACAACATAAAACTCAGGGGGTCATCCGGCTTTTCATAAACTAAATTTTCAGTGATCTGCTGAGAGAGCATAAGACATCACATTATAGTTCTGAACTAAAGTTACGTGGTCAGGTTACATCTGAAGCAATCTTTTGCACTTACATGTACACACCACTTTAAAGAAATTTATATATCTCTCTAAAGTGACAAATTACTTTCTTATGACTGATAAAATTAGGTAAACTCAGGTAAAATTTGGAGGAATAAAAATTTAGTAATAAGTAGCCATGGATATTTCTCTAATTTCCAAGATCAAAGAGGTAGTGAAAAAGTTTCTTAGAGAAAGTTTTTGTTTTGAGAACTGTGATTTTGCTCGACTGAGAAATTATTTGTTTTGAAGAATAGTCAGAGAAAATTTTAAGAAGACTATATGATTTTACATAGAGCCTTCCTTCTGAGGCACTTGATTCTAAAAGGTGAGAATGATGTTCATTGTTTCTAATAATAAATGAGAAACCATATAGAAAACTTCAGAGATTCACTACCATATTTTTTGTTGTTGAATAATCCTCTGAGTTATAATAAACAGAATTCTCATTTGTAAGGAATAGCAATGGGGAAAATTTTAGTTATAAAATAGACAAGTTCTCTTTAATGTACCCACACCAATTATGTATTTTATATTTGTTTCTATTGAACACTTATTTGATAACTAATTTTTTAATAACAATATTGAATGCATAAGCATTGCTTTTCCTTGACAGATGAAGAAAATTATTTATAGAATGACTAGAATTCAACTTTCTTCAACAGCTTTCATCCTTCAGTTTAATAATTAGTTGTTCTTTGATAAAAGCCAGAAAACCCTGCCATAAGTGCTCTACCAAAAAGGACATTTTAACAAAGAAAAGGCATAGAACAGAGTTAATGAAGTATCACTTGTCCTTATTTTATATGAGGAAACTGAGATTCACAGAAGTTATGTAATTTCCCCTAAATAACAAAGATGAAAAGTGGTCAAGTCAGGTTGGAGCCTTAGGATAAATTTGCTAAGTTTATGCTCTTTCCTCTGTACACTACTTCTTTAAACTTAAGTTTAAATGTTTCATTTGAGGTGGGCCATTCTTATTTCACACCTTTCTAATCACAAAGTTACTTCATGTACTCATGTATTATATGCAAATATGTACCTTGCTGGGTAATAATATTAATATAAAAATAAACATGTCAGGCAAACAAAAACAACCCACCAAACAACAAATGTTTTATAAATGTGATCATCTCTTGTAATTCTATATTGGCCAAGGATGTTATACTTTAAAGAATTTTCCAGCTCCATATCCTGAAGTCAATCAAATTCAATATTTTAAGAATTAAAAAGCAACTCAACTACTTTCTCCTTCTACAGAATGTAGTTTCTTAGATGGTCACAGGTTGGCTACCTTAAAAGTATTATATTCTGCTTGGAAAGGCTTTTCCCCTCCTTTTCAATGGCCAATATTTTCATCCATCCTTTCTAGTCTGGCTCAAACTTTAACTCTTGGCCAAGTTTTCCCCTATCAACCAGTCGAACTGATCTCTCTGAATGGCTTCATATCATGGTAAATATCACTCATTTCGTGTTTATCACTTACTACTTTTGGTTAGCACATCTTACTGACTTCTCAATGAGAGAATACTCTTTGTATTAGCAAAGGCCCTTTCTTGTACCACATGAAAGCCAGGTCAAAGTTTGTTTTTTACATTGTAGTTACTGAAAAACACAATTAAAAAAGGGAAGGAGAAGTTTACCTGGAATATTTGCAGAATGTGGTGTTTCTCCATGTATTGTAGTGAAATTTGATAAGGATCTTGATAAACCAGAGAAGGGAATTTCTTCCAATAAGTTTGGTTGTGAGCTTGAGAACTGTTCCCATCTTGGTATTCTGAAATATCGTTCTGAAATGGAAATACCCCCCCACCAAAGAGTCTTTAATAAATCAAAAGGCCCCAGGAAGTCTTGCTCTTATTTTTGCTATTATCAGTGGAATCTGGTGATGATGGGATATGAACACCAGGAGTTGGAAAAAAGACATTATTATGAGAAACCTGGCTCATCCTCTAGGCAAGATAATGTACCTCAAGTCCTGGGAGGTACCTTAGGCTTCTCCAATCTACTTCAAGTGCTTTTCCCTTCACAGGCATCTCCAGTTTACTCCAAATTCCTTTTCTTTGGTAGAAGCCCAGAGAGGGGAAATAACTTAGTGTTTTAGAGTTAGTAGCAGACCCAGGACTTGAAATCCAGGTCCCCTGAATGCTGGTTCATTGATCCTTCCTGAATGGCCTTGAGGTGGCAGAGGAAGCAACACATTTCTATATATCCCACCCTTCTCCTTCTTCCTGAATCTTATAGGTCACACGTATCACAACACGTGGGTTTATTTCTCATCCTTGATCCAACCTGTGCCCACCC